TATGCAATGCCAGACCTTTCAGCTAAATCCTCCTCAAACAAGTCTCGATCCGATGCATCGCCGGACCAAACAGCTGACCTTTCTTTGGTTTACGCCTTGCCATACACAAACTACTATGAACGCGGCCGATGTGGGGGCGCTGTATGCGGTGTCAAATATGAAAAAAGCTAATCACGTGACGAGCGATGGCGTCGGAATGCATGCGCCACTAGAAGCATATGACATTAATGCGGATGCTGATGAGGACAGGCGCGGATCCAGGGGGGGGGGCCGAGCGGGCCTTGGCCCCCCCCCCCCCGCAAAAAAAAAAAAAAAAAAAAAAGAGAGAGAAGAAAGGAAAAGAAGGGAAAGAGAAAGAAGAGAGAAAGGGAAAGAAAGAAGAGGAAGAAGAAAAGAAAAGGGGGAAGAAGGAGATCGGGGAAGGCGAAAGGGCCTTGCCTCCCAGGCTGTTGACCCCCCCCCCCCCCCCCCCATCAAAAAAATAAGAGAAGGTAGGAAAGGGAAAGAAAAAAGGAAAAGAGGAGATACTGGCGTACTGATAGGGGGGGGGGGGGGGCTTGGGGGAAATCAAATTCAAACGTGGTTTATTTCTAATTCCATAACGGGGGATTACAAATAATGCTGAAATGACATAATTTCCGAGATTTTTCCTCACTTTTTAGTAGATTCCTACATGTCAGGGCCCAAGGTACGGCGGGGATCGGGAGCCCCGAGCCCCCCCCCCCCCTACTTTTTTGAAAAAGTATATTAAAGAGAAATAAAACAGAATGAGAGCAAGAAAGAAAGAATAGTTAACTGCCAGTGTTGAAAAATAATGAGGCATCAAAATATGCTCATCTGACCGTGATTAATGCCTAAAACCCCTAAGCTTCCGGGGCTCTGCCCCCTTGATTTCACCTAGGGCCCTACGGCGGGCCCTTAGATGCTCATCTGATGGTAATTTAATGCCTAAAACCCCTGATTTTTTGGGGCTCCGCCCCCTGGACCCCACGCCAAATAGTGACGTGCCAGTCTCACAAAATAATAAGGTATACAAAAAAATGCTCATCTGACCTTAATTAAACGCCTAAAACCCCTGAGCTTCCGGGGCCGGCTCCGCCGCCTCGACCTCCCCTCCAGGGGCCCTAAGACGGCCCCTGATTCAGACAAGGATTAAGAGTATAGAGAACGATACAACGCATCGTCTTCTTTCTCTAATAATATAATGAAACGTCAAAGCTTCGCGCAGGAGGGGAGGGGGGGGGGACTGAATTCAGACAAGGATTAAGAATCGAGAACGGTACAACGAATCGTCTTCTTTCTCTCATAATCTTATGAAACGTCAAGGCTTCCGCGCTTCGCGCGGGAGGGGGGAACCTGAATTCAGACGAGGATTCAGAGGCGAGAACGGTAATACGAATCTTTAATGATTTAATGAAACGTAAAAGCTTACGCGCTTCGCGCGGGATGGAGGGGGAACTAAATTCCGATGAGGATTATTTTCAAGAACGGTACAACGAATCGTCTATTTTCTCTAATGATTTAATGAAACGTAAAAGCGTCCGCGCTTTGCGCGGGAGGGGGAGGGGGAGACTGAATTTAGACAAGGATTAAGAGTCGAAAACGGTACGAATCGTCTTCTTTCTCTAATGATTTAAGGAAATTTAAAAGCTTCCGCGCTTCGCACGGGAGGGGGGAACTTAAATTCAGACGAGGATTAAGAGTCGAGAACTCGACAACGAATCGTCTTCTTTCTCTAATAATTTAATAAATCGTAAAATTTTCCGCGCTTCGCGCGGGAGGGGGAAAATTAAATTCCGATGAGGATTATTTTCAAGAACGGTACTACGAATCGTCCTCTTTCTCTAATGATTTAATGAAAATTAAAAGCTTCCGCGCATCGCGCGAGAGGGGGAACCTGAATCCAGACGAGTATTAAGAGTCGAGAACTGTACAGCGAATCGTCTTCTTTCTCTCATAATCTTGTGAAACTTAAAAGCTTCCGCGCTTTGCGCGGGAGGGGGAGGGGGAGACTGAATTTAGACAAGGATTAAGAGTCGAAAACGGTACAACGAATCGTCTTCTTTCTCTAATGATTTAATGAATCGTAAAAGCTTCCGCGCTTCGCACGGGAGGGGGGAACCTAAATTCAGACGAGGATAAAGAGTCGAGAACTCGACAACGAATCGTCTTCTTTCTCTAATAATTTAATAAATCGTAAAATTTTCCGCGCTTCGCGCGGGAGGGGGAAAACTAAATTCAGACGAGAATTATTTTCGAAAACGGTACAACGAATCGTCTTTTTTCTCTAATAATTTAATGAAACGTCAAAGCTTCCGCGTTTCGCGGAGGAGGGAGGGGGAAATCGCCCCTCCCTGCACCGACCCCCCCCCCCCGCATTACGTCACTGTTGGTCACCATTACGTACCAATATTTGGCTCGCAAAATTTCAAATTTGGGCCCCCCCCCCCTAAGAAATCCTGGATCCGCGCCTGGATGAGGACAATACTGTGATGATAGAAAACGAGATTTATAATTGTTAGTAATTCAGTTTATTAGCAAATGCTTCTATAGGACCCAGAATGTACGTATCTTTCAGTTTAATCTTTTACGAAATGTACCAAATCCTTGTTCTCCAAAATTTGCAAACTACAAACTACCAAAATAATAAACAATTAATTGAATATATAGTAGACTGATGACTTCAGCACTTGGCCAACTATCATCTGTTTTTATCATTAAAACTACTTTTGTTTTAGGGCCTTCCAAGATTCTGGTTTATTTTGTTTTGCTTTCATTAGCATAATCAAGATTTATATAAAATGTTATATTAACTGCATGTGTGGTAATAACGACTCTTTTCGTTAATATAAAAATACAATAAGGAAAGGGTTGATTGTTTTATAAAGGTGCAATAATCTGTTACATTGTGTTTATGGTAAATGATATGAGTACGCATGTCATAGAAGGTTCCCGGCAAAGGATAATTCCTCAAATGCCCGATTTTCGAAATATGATAAAAAATAGTTGAAGCGTGTACGGCTTACATTCATGGTACATTTGCGTGTACCCATACCCATCTCTGTGTGCCGTGCAGGGGCGTAGACAACGGGGGGGGGGGGGGGATGAGGGGGATGCATCCCCCCCACCTCACAAGGTGGGGGGGGGGGGGGGTGGCATGTACAATCATCCCCCCCAGGTTTTGGGGAATGATATTTGCTTACTTAATAAGTCATAATGATGATAATAATAGTAGTGATAATAATGATAACAATTATAATATTAATAATAATAATAATTATGATGATGATAATAATAATCCTCATCATTATTGTAATTGTGTTTATTGTTATTAGCCGCATTCACACGGTGAAAGCCAATTCAGACGGTAAAAAAAAGAAAATCTTACAAGTATTTTGTGGTTATCTTGTGATTTGGAAACCACAAGATAACCACAAGATTAAACAGGCGCGGATCTACGGGGGGGGGGGGGGGGGGGGGGGTGGGGTTAGGGGGTTTAAACCCCCCCCCCCCCCTTGGGCGGCCCAAAAAACAAACAAACAAAAAAGGGGGAAAAAAGAAGAAAAACAAAAGAAAAAAAGAAAGAAAAAAGAACGCACGCTGGAGAGAAACCCTTTCAAGTGCAAATATTGTGAGAAGATATTCAACTCATCTGGCAACTTAACCAAACACATGATAACTCTGGATATAACTGTGTATTTAACTGTTACTTGATTTAAAAAGACGTTATCATGCACTGCTTTTTATGGTCTCCATTGTGTTAATAGATGCCAGGAAAACATCACTTACGGGGTTCAAATAAACACCCAAAAAAAAATCGGCTCGCCGCTTCGCGGCTCGTGGACGATGCTCCGCATCGTCATTATTTTGGTCAACCCCCCCTTAGCAAAAAGCTAGGTCCGCCCCTCAGTCATCCCCCCAGGTGTACGAACCTATCTACGCCACTGGTGCCGTGCATCTTATCTTCAGTATTAAAGCCTAGTTAAAGGTACTATGTCCCTTTTGCAGCCAACCTCAAATTAAGTAGAAATTTGCAGGAATTATGAATATGTCATGTATGTCCTATCTGTGAAATTTAAACGTTAGCAGTGTCCTCATATTCAAATTATGCAATGAAACCTGTTTACTTGCTAGAATTCACTGTCCGACACTTTTGAGTGACTTTCTTCTTTGGTAATAACATACATGAAAAGAGTTCTCAAGGGTACATGAGCATTTGTCTACATCAATAACCCATTTCCTGTAATGGCGAAGATTAAACTGATTGAATCTTTGCGCAGCATAAAACGTATGACCATTCGGTACAATTGTCTGAAAATCGAGACTATTGGGCTCTATAGCCCTAAAATCGATTTGACAACTAATAGTCGTTAGTTTCCCATTTGAAGACATTTTCAAGCCCCACCCTTTTTAGGGAAGTTCTAAATTAGTATCTTTCAAATGCAGTTGGAATTTAACTTTTCATTATCGGGGCCTGCAAAAGAGACATAGTACCTTTAATGTTCTGGTCAGTGATTCCAGGAAGTAATCATTATACACCATTTCCTGTCATACCTATGCGTCACCTTAGCAACCAATTCCCAATAAAGTCATATTTCATTTTAATCAATGCGATCATTACTCGACAAGAACTCTTTGTTAATGAAATATTATGTTTTTGTCCCATCACGGATAAAATTTTCACTTCATCTATCGCGAATGCCGGCCAACCCGGCTATGGATAATATATCGGTCTTGGTTCCAGTTTCATTACTAAATAAACAAAGAATAGTCTAATAATAGTGATGCAGATAACGAATGTAAATATGTATATCAATCATAAACATTGTATTTTTTTTCATCTTGTATTTATTTATTTGTTGTAATACATATACATATAATTTCTACAGAGAAAAATGTTATTTTCGAAGATGTATTGGCTATGTTGAAATAATTCTTACATTAAATAATATCATTTCCTGAATAAAAAACATTTTTTGACATAATACCAATATACATAGTAAATTTGAATTGCATTTTCCTTTATTTATGCTTTCATGAATGTAACAATTTCTAAGTGAATACTGAATTTAATAATACTGCTTCCTAGCATGTATATTTAGAAGTTTAATGAATACCATATAGACATGTAGAACCAACAAAACAAATCCATATTACAAACAAGATCTTAATAAAAGTGATATACATTCGATTTCTACTTGAGATTTTTTTTTAATTTACACCAATATGTAAGCCAATAATATCTTTACGACATGACACAGATACAGCACTCTAATTCACTCTAAATAACTGAGTGGATAGTCATGGCACAACAATCTGCGAATCGAGAGGTACACGTTTATGCAAAACGAAGTAGAAAGGGTGGGGTAAACGGAGAAGTAAAGAGATATAGAACGAGAGAGGGCAGAAGCGCGTAGAAGAGCGAAAAGAGGCCCTATATACATATATTATAAGGAGAATGAGAAAGGAGTGCCTCTTCGTGATAGGGTTAATTACGATTTATACACACACTCACCCCCACCCACGTATATAAATGACATCCGATACCAAGTCCATGTGCTGGTTTATAACGATAACAAGAGGAAAAATGTACCAGGTAAAGTTTCTTGCTTTTTAATCAAAGAGTTTATTAACTTGTTCACAAGTCGTCCAGGGGAGCCTCACGTCGTTGGACAGATTTGACTGATTACGACAAAAAATAAGGGCAACAACCCTCATACAGCTTTTCCAAATCAATTTGCGCATATAGATAATTTATAAGCAACAAAATGCTTTGTTTTCAAGCCATCCAAATTCTGTAAACTAGCTAATGAAAGAGATAATGAAATATTGGATTGCAGAGCCTAAACTTTACCTGGTAAGGTAGCCTTTATAACTGATATATAAGAGTATCATGAATACATTATATTGTAGTGGTTATGTGATTTTCATATGAATTATGTATTTTATAGGAGTATCAGAACATTCCCAACAAACGAAATCCATATATATAGATTTACTTAAATAACAATGATTTCCAAACGCATAAACAACTACGATATCAGAAACTCCTCAACTTATCCTTTACACTCAAACCACAGTACAATAGTGTAAGATAAGAAATACGTCACTGATGGGCACATCGCCACTTTTTCTTCGATTCTACGATAATTTCCCCTGCAAAAAAACAACAACCCGGGATCACCGAATTCCAAAAATTAACACTACCTAGAAAACTAAACCTAACCTATTAGAAACCTTACCTTAACTTCTTACAAACCTAGCCCTATTCATATCTTTATTATTCAACGACATAGACAATGGAGCAAAAGCACGGCACCACTCTTTGTTTTCTCCATTTTCTCACCGTGGCTCTGCACAGGTATTAAACGACCAACCAGCAGAGGGCGAAGATGTGTGGACGATCAATGACCTATTTGAGGACGATGAGGAAGAGGGCGATACAAAGGACTAGAAGAACGGAAGAACATGAAGTGACGAGCGCAGTGCTACCCGAATTCACTTGACGACAGTCAGGCAGTTCCATAGTCGGGGGCAATGTTACATCTGCTGATACAAAACAAACATCATAAGAAAAACATTAAAGAGAGCATTTATTCGAGCGAGGTGTGAAAAATCATTGTTTTTAAAACAACAATGCAATGGCGCAATGAGCAAAATAAAATTATGGGAGTGAGTCAGTGAAAATTGGTATGTTTTTTAAATGCACCAATAAAGGGGTATTATCAATATTTAATATCAACAAATACTAATTTGTACAAACAAAACTAAATAATCATATAATGAGGATAATGATAATAATGATAACAAATAAAAAAAATAACTAATAATAATACTAATTTAAAATGAAATGATATAATTTTGCACATCATAGTCAGCACCACTGCCTTATTTAGCCGATACTTGAATGAATCGAATAGTGCGTCAGGACAATGTTGGCTATACACGGACACTCAACCAATACTTATCAAGATTCTATTTTGCAAACACGTTTTCTGACTTGATTGATTGTTCCACACCCTGAAGATTAACCTAATATATAAGATTGGTTTTTCATAACAATCTTGTTGGGGGGATTCACCTCGTCCCATTCAAGCAGCTAATCATCATGATAACATAAACAGATAATGTTAAGAAGAATCACAACAACGACAGCAACAATGATACTTGTGATAATAATAATAATGATGACAAAATTAACAATGGTACTGCCAATAATAAAAATGATCTCAATCATAATAGTAATAATAAGTATAAATCATAATCATAAAAATGATCATGTGATAATCAAAATCGTAAAAAAGTCAATAATAACAAAATTAAAATAAGGATTATAATAATGATAATAATAATGATGATGATAATAATAATAGTATGGGAATAATAACTGACCACTAGACCTGCGTACAGTCACCGAAAATTGGCAATCATCGGTATTTCCTGCCGCATCACTGGCCCGATAGGACAGCTCGGTTATGCCCAAAGGGAAATCGCCTCCATCAGTTCCTGGTCCTAGAAAGACCATTGTGGGACAGCTAGACCAGCTGTTGAGTACGGGCTCGGTCCATGAGATCGATGGCGCATTCGAAGCGTTGTCGTCGATAGTGACGACGATGTTGTCAGGGCAACCCTGGATGGCAACGGGTTCATTATATGGAGCTGTTAAAAAAAATACATGATTTTAATATCAATCGTCGAATCTAGTTCATAAAGAAATATATACATATATATATATATATATATATATTTATATAAATATAAAAAGTTATATTGCAAATATATATTTACATTCGTATTGTGTTCATAATATATGTTTGAGCAGCGTGCATTTGACGCTGAACGCTGCATGCAAAAAGAGAAGAAGAAGAAGAAGAAAATTGAAGTGACCCTAGGCCTAAAATAAAAACTTGTTGTATTGCCCTTTGCGACCGACCCAAAAATCTGAAAATCTACGGTCGGCATTTTAATTTTTTTTTTTTTTTTACCGTTTTTTAGAATATGTTTATTATTAAATAATAAAAAAAAAAATAATATTTTGTTTGTTGGGATAAATGGGATATAAATGCATGAAATCAAATCATTCCCAAATTCTCACTCGTCTTCTGCCTTAGTTTCAAAATCCTACTAGCGTAAAGTTGTAAACATCTCGATCAACACAACATTGCAAACCATGGATTATTATGAGGTGAAAAAGATATGAATGGAATGATGACGCTGAAACACATGTATTAAAGCATTAATAACTGAGAAATAGCAGCCGAAAGAGGGCGGGAAGAAAAAACAACATTCAAAACTGAAAAATATCGGCCCAAAGAGGGCGAAAAAAAAAAAAAAAACTTTCCGACCGACCGACCCATGTTTTGGCACTAACCCTAACCCTAGGGCAGTACAACAGGTTTTTATTTTAGGCCCTATAAAGAAACCTCAAGTTTACGCGTGAATTATTCAATAATTCAAAATGATATTTAGTTAAATGTGTACATGATTTGGAAGCTTAATTTCTAGTAAACATATGACATAAAAAAAACCTCAACAAAAAGTCGCGCATTAATAATTTCATACAGCATGAAGTGACAGATTCAGAAACTCAATTGTCTAACCTGAGTGGATGGCTGATACGTTTGGTTTAGTTTGGTTATGAAAACATATGAAATGATTTTGAATTAATAATTGCTTAAAATACCATAATTTCAAAGCGCATGTCTTTTAAGTGCATACTACGAGACCATACTCATGATAGAAGGATAAATGACTAAGCAGGCATTATTTAAACGGAAAAATATCTGGTTTCAATGTGTCTATACCAGGTAATACGCGGTCTTCGCGTTCAAGTACGCCTCCGCTGGTGTCACAAGCGAGAATCTCCTGTAAGAGCCACAACCCTAACCGTGGTCTAGTTAGTGCAATAATTATAGATATTGTATGCTTAAAATAGTGATATTTCCAAAAAGATATATGTTTAATTTGACATTTCACATGTAGGCCTATGTACAATTATTTATCATTGCATTAATATTCTTATGTTTTGACACTGTTATTGCATAATGCAGGGCTTTCTTGAAAAGCAGGTCCACTGGCTTCCAGTGGAACTGAATGAAACTACTCTATTAAAAGAAATAATGAATAAATGAATAATAATGCCTCCTGGCTGCGCAAAGAGTTGTGCATGCTCAGATGAGTTCTCATTAAACAGACTAACTTGTTAAATTATTTGTATCATGTTATCTTTTTTGTGTTTCTTAAAATAACATAGAAAAGCGGATACAGTGGAGAAAAAAATGAAAAAACAAAGTTATATTTTAAAACACCAGACATTAATGGCTCTCAAAAATAGTATAATTTGTATATTCATGTTTTTATCCAGAGATCTGACGCGGCCTGAGACACAGGCGTCTTACTGTTTGATATGATCCGAGTAGTCACAGGGCTGATGGCAAGATCGTTGCCACTCGTCAATGTCACCGTACTGTTGTGAATCGTGAGAGTGGATGACTTCATATCATACTCGTTGATCAAGCTCGTGATGGCATAACTCGTGGTAGAACGTGACTGAGCTGACCAGAACAGCCTGCTGCCGTACTTGCTGAGAGAACTACCCGTTGTTTCGGTGGAGAATACTTTGATGGTTCTATTCCCACTCCCGTCTAGATTCGTGACGCCTAATTCAGTCCTTTTCGTGTAGTAAAACAAGCGGGCTGGTATAAGAAATAGTAAGAAAAAATATTAGATGATAAATGCAGGCTGCACAATTTTTTTGAATATGGCTATTACCCTTTGTTCTATTCAACGGTTCTTTCTGGCAATTTTGACCGATATAAAAGCCTCAAAACTACCCCTCCCCTTCAAAATGAAATATATATACATATATATCATAGATATATGCCATAGACTTGGTAAATGATTCTTAGTAAATAATTGCCATGCTCATATACTCCATAAAAGTGTACCCAATATATTTGGAATAAAGGGAACATTCATATTTGTGAGGTAAAGTATTATCTAATAATATTGGGTACACTCCAATTGTAAATGTGTACTGTTTTATCTTACATAATGGTTACAAAATATGGAAGTAACGACAGACTAACGGTTTCGTCACTAGATCTACCACGTATAACTGGTGCTCGGTGATCAGTGCCCCATTATACAAATCTAAGCAATTGTACGATTGATTTTTAAGATTGATTGCACATAGTGATCAATGCAATCAATCGCAAAAATCAATAGCACAATCCATTGCTAAGCTTTGTGTTACAAGACCCAATAATGGAAGGGATGCTTGTTGGATACATAAGATGTTATCCTATTTGCATTGTTTTCTTTTCTCCGCATTAATCATATCCTATACGGCAATCCGTTAGCATGCCAAAAACTAACATACAACATTTAAACCCTTAACTTTGCATTCATTTTTGGACACGGTGACTCTTAGGTTGGCGAGTCAAAGACACAGTCCTACCGTAGCAAATAAGGCATTTTCGATTGTGTCGACGAGAACGCCGTCTACGTCCAGAGCGCGTGTTCACCCAGTTAAGCTATGGTCACAACCCCCAAAAGTAGCCTGTTCGGCGGCCGGGCGGCGAGTTCTTAGCCAATTTCGCCCGGGCATCGAGCAGCGGCCACCCGGGCACCACTTGTTTTTAGGGCATCGCTCGGTCGCTGCTGAAGTTTCAGCGCGGAGTTAAAATTCGGCGGCGCCTGCTCACTTTTCACTCGCAGCCCAAAAAACGCTCGGTGGCCGGGCGGTCGCCTCCCGGGCACCGACCTAATCGAGCGTTCACCGTCGAGCGATTTAGGTCTAAAATCAAAGCCGCTAGGTCAAAGGCTGCTGAACGGTCGCCGTCCAGTTACTGCCATGTCGTCGCCGGGAGATCGGTCGGTCACTGGGCGGCGAGTTCAAAATCGGCCGGCAGCCGTTGACCTCGCAGCTTCGATTTGACTTATATCGGTCGAAGGCGAACGCTCGATTAGGCCAGTGCCCGGGCGGCGACCCCCCCCCCCCCCCCCCCCCCCCCGGGCACCGAGCGTATTTTGGTGCCCCGCCGATCACCGGCCGGCCGCCGGGCAATTTCATTAAAATCAGCCGGTGGCCGGTAGGAGACCGCTCGGGAATCGGTGGGTCATCAGTCGTTCACTAGAGAAGCTCTCCGATTTCGCCCAATTTTGACCTAAAATCGACCGGCGATCGACGGGAAATCGACAGAGCACCGCTCAGCCATCGCTTGGGCTCGACAGCCTGCTCGACTTCTCCAAAAATCACTGGGCGATGCCTTAATTCCAGCGGCGACCGAGCAGGCTACAAATCGGTTGGTTCCATTTGAAAACGTTTCGATTTCAGTCAACGCCCACACGCCGCACTAGTGAACAAGATGATGTGACCCATTCGTCATATCCATTCCCCCCGTCCGCGACACTTTAAATGTGGTCAGAACACGAACCGGTACCACTGACTTCTACTGGTACAGATAGTTAGGTACGTACTATACAGAACGGCGTTCTAGTTTGAGCTGATCGTTAAAACAGAGGTGGACGCCCCCCCCCCCCCCACACACTCAGTGTTATCTAGGGTACGCATATGCATGTTCCGTCCTCTTTAAAACACCCCCCCCCCCCGAAGTCCGGTGTGTAATTTGTGTGTACTATGAGCCGGATTTGTGTGTACTACGAGCCGGACTTTGGTGCGTGAAAAGTACCCCTTTACCGGACACTTTGGGAACAGGAATGGTATCTCTCCGTTCACGGACTGGGGGGGGGGGGGGGGTGGACGCGTTCTCGATTCTGGTAGTGTGGACAGGGATATAACAAGGCGCGTGCGCAGATCGTCAGATCGTCAGTTTTTATGTTGCAGTTCACTATGTCGACGTGACAATAAAAAATGCCCGACTCACAACGAAACACAATTAAGTAAGTATCTTACTGGTGTCATCAGCACATTCCTCATTGAACATCCCCTCAGCATAGATGGGTCTCACTACCTCCTCGTTAGTTGCGTTTAGTGTTGCCTTGACAACTTGATTGACTATGCGTGTTGACCAGACAAGAAACCTTTCAAGATGAAATAATCATAATTTTGAAATTAGAGGTGTGTGGTCTGCGAGATACTTCAGCGGACTGTGGATCAGGTGATTCCTGGGTCGAATCCCTGTCACGGTCAAGGCGCTAAAGTACTAAAACTATAGGCAGGCGCGGATCCAGGGGGGCCGAGCGGGCCTTGCCCCCCCCCCCCCGCAAAAAAAAAGTTAGAAGAAAGGAAAAGAAGGGAAAGGGAAAGAAGAGAGAAAGGGAAAGAAAAAAGAGGAAGAAGAAAAGAAAGAAGGGAAGAAGGAGATCGGGGGGGGGGGGGGGCGAAAGGGCCTTGCCTCCCAGGCTGTTGACCCCCCCCCCCCCCCCCCAATCAAAAAAATAAGAGAGAAGGAAGGAAAGGGAAAGAAAAAGGGAAAAGAGGAGATACTGGCGTACTGATAGGGGGGGGGGGGGGCTTGGGGGAAATCAAATTCAAACGTGGTTTATTTCTAATTCCACAACGGTGGATTACAAATAATGCTGAAATGACATAATTTCCGAGATTTTTCCACACCTTTTAGTAAATTATACGTTTGTATGTGTTTGTTGGAAAATGACAAATTCCTAAATTTACAGCCAGGCAAGAAATATGATTCTTGAGATTCCTATATGTCAGGGCCCGAGGTACGGCGGGGATCGGGAGCCCCGATCCCCTCCCCCCCCCCCCCCCCCCCCACACTTTTTTGAAAAAAAGTATATTAAAGAGAAATAAAATAGAATGAGAGCTAGAAAGAAAGAATAGTTAACTGCCAGTGTTAAAAAATAATGAGGCATCAAAATATGCTCATCTGACCGTGATTAATGCCTAAAACCCCTAAGCTTCCGGGGGCTCTGCCCCCTGGATTCCACCTAGGGCCCTACGGCGGGCCCTTAGATGCTCATCTGACGGTAATTTAATGCCTAAAACCCCTGATTTTTTGGGGCTCCGCCCCTGGACCCCACGCCAAATAGTGACATGCCAGTGTCACAAGGTAATAAGGTATACAAAAAAATGCTCATCTGACCTTAATTAAACGCCTAAAACCCCTGAGCTTCCGGGGCCGGCTCCGCCGTCTCGACCCCACCAGGGCCCTAAGACGGGCCCCTGAATGCTTATCTGACCGTAATTTATTGCCTTAAACCCCTGAGCTTGCGGGGTTAGACAAGGTATCAAAATGTGTTTATCTGACCGCAGGCGCGTAGCCAGGAAAGGGGGGGGGGCGGTCCCCCCAAATCGGAAGAGGACGTAGGAAGAAAAAGGAGCAGACAAATTTAATGAAAATTAAAAGCTTACGCGCTTTGCGCGAGAGGGGTGAACCTGAATCCAGACGAGGATTAAGAGTCGAGAACTGTACAGCCAATCGTCTTCTTTCTCTCATAATCTTATGAAACTTAAAAGCTTCCGCGCTTTGCGCGGGAGGGGGAGGGGGAGACTGAATTTAGACAAGGATGAAGAGTCGAGAACGGTACAACGAATCGTCTTCTTTCTCTAATGATTTAATGAATCATAAAAGCTTCCACGCTTCGGGCGGAAGGGGGAAAACTGAATTCAGACGAGGATTAAGAGTCGAGAAATGTACAACGAATCGTCTTGTTTCTTTAATGATTTAATGAAACGTAAAAGCTTCCGCGCTTCGCGCGGGAGGAGGGGGGGGGGAAGAATCTAAATTCAGACGAGGATTATTTTCGAAAACGGTACAACGAATCGTCTTCTTTCTCTAATGATTTTAGGAAATTTAAAAGCTTCCGCGCTTCGCACGGGAGGGGGGGGGGAAACCTAAATTCAGACGAGGATTAAGAGTCGAGAACTCGACAACGAATTGTCTTCTTTCTCTAATAATTTAATAAATCGTAAAATTTTCCGCGCTTCGCGCGAGAGGGGAAAAACTAAATACAGACGAGACTTATTTTCGAGAACGGTACAACGAATCGTCTTCTTTCTCTAATAATTTAATGAAACGTCAAAGCTTCCGCGTTTCGCGGAGGAGGGTGTGGGAAAATCGCCCCTCCCTGCACCGATCCTCCCCCCCTCCCGCACTACGTCACTGTTGGTCACCATTACGTACCAATATTTGGCTCGCATAATTTCAAATTTGGGCCCCCCCCCCCCTAAGAAATCCTGGATCCGCGCCTGACTATAGGCATGAGTCATTACGGTTTTTGTGTGATTGGCATGAGATAGTCCTCAAAAGTGGATGGAAGCTTTGATACCTACGAAGTGTAAAAGTTGGTAGAAGCCTAATCTACAGCTTCAAGGCCCCGTTACACAACAATGATTCTGATGGGTTTATAGTCAGCCTGTTTTCTTTTTTCACAATATGTGCATTTAACGATAATGTTATTCAGCCATTGCCAATTAATGTGATAATAATAATAATTTACCCATTGACGGGGTCCACCAAGATTGAAGTAGGTTGTACAAAATTCGTATAATGGAAGAGTTCTTGTACCGAGCTACCGTCGAGATTGGCACGTGAGATAGCCTCGTCATTATACATCGTCCAGTAGATCTTCCCGTTCACCAGATCGAGAGCGATAGAATGAGGGGCTGAAATGAATTCAAACGATAGATCAGTACAATTTAATGATAATAATAATAAGAATGATGATAATAATAATATTATTTTACATCGCTACTTTATCACAAGATCGATTACGCACTTGCAATTTATCTTCATGAATAAGATTCATGGTGATGGGCTAGCTTTAAAATTGCCAATGAAACGTTGCGTTTTATCAGGAGGGATTTTTAAAGGTATTACCCTCTTTTCAACACGTTATATCGTATTGCACATGTGGTGTGTATGCGCCCACTGTTAATGTTCGAATTAACAATGACAGATAGTATCCGCAAAGTATATTGCGTTATTACCCTACTATGATTAATCATGGTAAATAAATAATGACAATTCATTGTAAAATATATGGAAACATTGCACTTGCAAAGTAAGCATATTGCTATTCACTCACAGCCCGTAGATACAATGACTTCTCGGTTCGTGCCGTCAAGTTGGATTCGACTTATTTGATCCCTATTGAAATCATTCCAGTACACCATTTCATTCACTGGATCATAGTCGATTCCATCTATTCCACTATTCTCTGGAAGAGGTATCAGGTTGAAGAGGGTGTCCATGATGTTGGTATCATCCCGTGGTTCCGGCAGGAAAGCGTAGAGGATACCAGGGACATTCGTATCACCAATAAATATCTGAGCAGTATCTGTGTAGCAAGACGATTGTGAAGTATATACCAAAAAAGTAGATTACATGGGATTCAGGAATACATTGCTTATTAAAAAGCTTATCAAAAAGCGTCATTATTAAAGTCTTTCTTTCTTTTCTGAAGTAGGTAACCCTTGCAAATAATCGATCAAGTTAGTTCTACCACACCTGGTAACATTTATACCCAGATGTTGTGTGTCCGGACAGGTTGTGTAACCGGACAGTAAACTGTTTATTTAAAACAGCAATTTGAAGAAGTTGCACACAATATTTCGTTAATCATCTAAGACGTATGTTGGACTAAATTATCCAGGACAAATATTAATGATGCTTAGAGCTAATTGGTGAATATTTCTCGTTAAATTCAAAAGCAAAAGAGAAGGCTTTTTGTTTGTTACGTGTGTCGGACATACCCCCCCCCCCCCCCCCCCCCATCATAGTGACACGAACTGACTTAATGAATAAATAAATAAAAGAATACTATTACTACTCTCTCTCTAAAAAAATGGGAATTTACGCTCTATTTTCACTTTCTTGGGAGTGACGTCAGGGATCACTTGTTTAGGAGTGAATGCGATTGATTTTCGAGTGGTCTCTAAGAAGAAAAAAGTGAATGGTCACTCTATTTTCACTACATTTTCACTCTCCAGAGGAGTGACGTCCGTGATCACTCGATTTCTTTTAGAGAGTACTACTATTACTACTACTACTACTACTACTATTACTACTACTACTACTGCTTCTACAATCGTCATCGTATCTTTTTGAGCTCGATCTTACTATCTGTGCACCCAACACAAATAACCAACAACAACAAGTAATACATAAAAAATATATTTACAATAGTTTCAAAAATACATATTTAATAAACTATCAAAAAGTTTGATTAAAAAAAAAAAATCATTAAGATCATAACTATCACATCATTCTCAACCTTCCCATGCATAAAAACAAGATTAATTTATGTAAAACCAATAAAAAAAAAGTGCAACGAATTTGAAAATTGCTTTGTAGCAAATTGTGCCTTCCCTGTCTATGTCATTTACTGATGAAACCACGTTGTTTAATCACTAGAAATTATACTTATTTGAAATCAGGAATAACGTATTCTAACAAGACAGTGTTTATAGACATTTTTGTCATCAAGTGCGAAATTTGTTCTAAAAACCTTTTACATGTTTTCCGGCTATTCGATTTTTTAAAACATGATAATATCGTATCTTTACTATTTTTCGTGTAATTATAAAGAGTAATAAACTAACGACTCGACAGTCAAGATCCGTTTTTTAATTGTTTAATTTGGTTAACGAATGTAAAGCCAAGGGTTCGAAGGGTCACGTCAATTTTATAAAACTTGTAAGGTATGATCATGGTTCAAACGCATAATTGAATAGAAATTTACACGGTAAGAAAAAGAAGCTGTAAAAGGGAGTTCTGCTCTGTTTAAATTGGCTACTTAGAACCAGGACATTTTAGGAATATAACATATATATATATACACATATATATATATATATATATATGTTCATGGTTCGTGAATAGCTTCAGTAAACAATAATCAAGTACCCGACTCTTCTGCATTTCCCGAAAAACCTTTCTATTCAAGTTATTTTAATTCACTATTTCTTGATTAAATTCACCACTGACATATTTTTGATTAATATGTCATTTGTAAAATGTCATGGAGATATCTTAGAAATACATTCTAAAGACAAGAAGCAAATTAAAACTTGTCAATAAGATTGTAGTTGTAAAGGATAAATGAGCAACGTAAAATGAGCAAAGTAATAGGCCTCCCATTCTTTCTTTATTGTTTTCGTCCTTTCTAGAATTTTCTTTAAATGACACTTTTTTGCCTTTTAATTACATCTATCTGATCGACTTGTCGTTTGTCTAAGGACTTTTAAGTCGAATGACACATCTAAAGCACAAATTTACCCAATGCTGTTTTTATCCATCACACCTATAAATCTTCACAACTTTTTTTTTCATCAACTATAGAATATTCCTCAAACTTTGTTGTCGACGGTTATCGATAATATTCCTGTTTTGATGGAGATCGCCTTGATGCAAAAAAAAAAAAAAAAAAAAAAAAAAAATGACCAATATAAGGTCGGATCAAAAACTCATAAAATATCCTCGAATTGATGAAATTTGGTCAGCGATGGGGCGGAGGAGGGAGAACTGGCAGAGGTACTAACCTTTTTAACTTAATACGTCCCATACTGATGACTAAGAGCCGATAACGAGACACGTTTACGCTGCCGTCTGTTTTCTCTAAAATTTTGTTTCTTCTATTTTTTCTAATTGTTACATATTATATTTGGATTACGGCACTGATTCGAATTATTATATATGAAATTTAAACTTCAATATTAGACGTCACTAATCGGCTCAAACCACTAAAAGTCTCTCTATCTCTCTTTTATCTTCTAAAAGTGTAGATCTAAATCCTTTCTATGATGTACCCCCTTTGCATAGCACCAGAGAATGCATATCGATCAATCAATCATTTCATTGTTCGATTTTGAGACTCAGCCGCAGGGTTTCTGTCCTTTGGTAAGGCATTCATATACTTTCCCCTGTCCCAACCCAGGGGGTGTTTCACAAAGATCCTAAGTTGAACTTATCTCTAAGTTTGAAAGCCATTAGCATCTTTGAAAATATTTCTTTATAAATATTTTAAAAGGCATAACAAGTTGATATAAATCATTCATATTTTCTATTATCATGGGAGATTTTATGTTCTTGATGGGGAATTTATGAAAAGTCTAACAAATACTTGAATTTTTGCTGTTGAATATATTTATTATAAGGCTACAAATGGCTCTCCATAATTGTTAAGTCCAACTTAGAGTTAAGTTCGACTTAGAATCTTTGTGAAACACCTCCCAGGAGTAATAACTAAAACGTAAGAAACAATTATTTTATGATTGATTTCAGAGTCTTGTAGGACATCAGTCGCTTTAAATGTTTGCGTGTTGTAAATGTAGTTGTATTATTTGTATTGTTTAAGAGTTACTGATACTTACTCATGTGAATACCAAAGATTGTGTAGACCAACACCAAAATATGCCACATTCCTCCACGCGCCATCTCGGAATTATCTCCCGTAGAATAATATGAACTGCGTCTTTTCTGTGTCTACCAAAATTGGTTCTGGTTGGGAGAAGCAATAAATGTTTTGATTTAAAATATGTCTTGAGAACGGGCTTTTATAATGTTTAACAGCAGCTTTCATAATCTCATTTTACACCTGTATACTCCTTGAAGGCTAATGGTCGAGTATTGGTCAAATGATATTACTGAATAGCCTTGGGTTAGATATGAGGGTATTTCGCTCCAGATGATTAGCACATTCGTTGAGTCGATTTGCAAAAATCAAGGTTGCAAAAAAGTCCAGTCGACCTCGTACCTTAATATCTGTATCAATATAGAGTGGCATTCCGAAGGCGAACTACCAGCATGAATAATTGGATCATTTAATTTGTACATGTAATGACAAGGTAATTCTTGTATCATTTCAGGTAGTACGTAGTCAATTGAAGGTGAAACTCTCACTGAAATGTCTGGTGAGCCAGTCAAGTGGACTGGTTAATAAGGGCCTAATTTGATTTGATTTATTAATTTCTGTTTGATTTTCTTTTTCTTTTGCATTTTTACAAACATATATAACAAACAAAACATTACACATTTTTACACATTTCAAAAGAATATAATGTCGAATAATAAAAGTAACCAATCGAAAACATCATACAGAAGAGCTGATAAAGTAAGCAAAGCTTGATAGCATGACTATCCTCAATTGATACATAATAATACGAATATGTAGGAACAAATATTGGTAAAAGGAGAAAGAGAGAGAGAGACAGAGACAGAAAGAGACAGAAAAAAAAAATTGTTGAATACTTTAGACGTATAGTATAGATCGGGACAAATAAATTTTCTACATACTTAGAAATGACAAAACTTGGTAGGGGTATGAACATTTTAGTTGCTAACTTTAAAAGTTACAAAATGTGAGCAGTAGCGTCACCACATAATTATGAAATATGCTTAAACGGGAGACTCTCACTGAAATCTCGGGTGAGCCAATCAAGTAAGTGGTTCACTGCAGTGAAACTGGGTCGTCGTATGCAGGTATTCATCTGAAACTTCCCAGCCCAAATAAACCCCTCCAAAAAATGGGAAACTCTAGATTGATGGATTATATCTCTCTTGTCATGGATAATTACCGCTGTGTTTAGTATCATTAGAAGGTTGCAGGCGCGGATCCAGGATTTCTTAGGGGGGGGGGGGGGAGGCCCAAATTGGAAATTAATTTGAAATTTAGTGTGCTGAAATTTGAAAATCGTGCCGGCCGATATTTCGCTCAGTGGGGGGGGGGGGGGGGGGGGTAGTCAGCGCTTTTTTTATACTCAACCCCCCCCCCCCCCCCTTGAGCAAAAAAACAAACAAGGTAGTGTCTTCTTTTCTTCTTCTTTTTTGCACAAGGGGGGGGGGGACCCCAAGGCCCGCTCGGCCCCCTGGATCCGCACCTGCAAGAGAACGTGGAGAGAGAGAGAGGATGCAGAAAATAACAACAGGAAATTTGTAGCGTTAAAAATATAACAAATTCAACAGAGCAAGAAGCGATATCTCGGTAACATCGGAAGGTTGATAAAAAAAACTGCGTAATTTTGGTATGAAATGTTACTTATTATATTTATTCTACTGTACTAACCCTCTAAAATGCAAACAAATCCTGAACAAAGTCTCAAACCACAAAGATATTATGGTTTTCTTTGAAGGCGTCACTATGCGACACCCTCTAACAGTAAATTCTCCCATCCAATTTTTGATTTATTTCTTTCCCAACTGTTTTCCATGAAAATAAGACACAAAACAGGCTTCTTTTTTTCCAACACTTAAATGTCTGGAATGGTATATAGAGCCAATTCATTGCTTTGTTACGATTTACATTCACCTAGTATGTAGTTAAATTATAATAATACAGTTGGGAGAATTCAGGAATCGATCAGTTCATTTTTTCCCAATTTGTATCATTAATAATGGTCTGTTTTCACTCAAACTTTCAGATTATCTTTAATTGTACATCTAGCATTGAATTCACTTCCTTAGCACCATTTTATCTCATCTAAATAATTTTACCAAGTCCCTTTTAATGTCGGGTGACATCCAAACATAAGTTGATTCCTGTTGATTTGCAGGGCTGAAAACAACTCATATTTTGTTATTCAAACATCTAAATATATTTCATAGATTCTTAAATATTTTTCTTAGAATCATTTTTTGTTCAGACCTGCTAAGGTTGCGAACATGTGCTGAGCTGGGAAAATAACATACCTTTTACAAACATTTTTTATCGAGCATACATATTGTTCAATAACACGCTGGTGGATAAAACTGCCTAAAATTGCAATAAATATGACCTCAGAACACATTGTTAGATTATTTTTGTATTCAAACTTGTAATCATTGTCATCGTCATCATTCTAGCATCTACATGCTTTATTTATTTTCTTGTCTGTGTATTAACTACAGCTAGATTTCGTATCGTTTGATAGATTGAGTAGATACCACAGCCTGCCGGTCTTTTACCGACAAGTCACCGCATTCATGTAAAATGAACGAATCAATCGACGTCAAATAATTGATTTATCATCGCTCTATAATGAATTTTTCCACAGCATACTTGCATTCGTATCTATCACGAATGAACATTTAGCAGGTATCTTAAATGTTCGTTTTGAATAATTTCCTCTCCACTTCTTTTCCCTGTTTGATACTGATAAAATGTTCAAATGTTCTTAATCAAAGCAAAAGATTATATTCATAGTTTCTTTATGCAATAAAGAGAGGGAATGAGAGAATTATGGGAAAGTCTAATTCCACTTTAAAAATAATTTGCTTTTAATAGATGCAGAAAAAACAAGACAAACAGAGCAAACAAAATTTAAGTAAAATCGGATAACTAACAGGGAAGTTATGAATTTTTATGAAGTATAAAGAGCTATGGGACTTAGAAAATCACAACACAAATTGCCAATTTGGTTATCAGTTTGTGACGTCATTGCCTCACTATTTATCAATTGCTTTATATATTTGTCCCATTAATTTCTTTTTTTATCCCCCAAAACTTGATTTCCCCATGCTTTTGCCCAGGCTATATGATTTGTATCATACTGCTTGCATACATTTCACAAAATCTTTCATGAACTTTTCATAATCATTGATTTGTATTTGTATGTATTGGAGTGGCGTACCATAATGGTAGGGGGAGGGTATCAATACTCTATACATTGATTCATTTTTTATGTTTTGTTTGGTTTTGTTTTTGATAATTTATACGATGTTCGTAATCTCTTTGAAGCCATTTATATCTGTGTTAATTTTATTTAGTCTGTATTGAACATGTTAAGAACAATCTATGAGTATCAGTTCAATCACAATCATAATCACATCAAAATCTGAATCACCATCACACTGAATCACAATCACGATCGTGATCACAGTCACAATTACCATCTCAGTCACAATCGTAATTGATACCCCCCCCCCCCCCCCACCATTATGGTACGCCACTCTAATAAATACAACTGTAGTCTGTAAACACACACTTTGCTTGCACTTATATCATTGCATATTCATAAAAAAGACACTCTTACTTAGTTCCATGCTAATTCTATATTGATGTGGCTAGGTTATATCTACTTAACACATGAACGTTCAGTTGCTAAATCGTGATGATTTAGTGGGTATACACCCCTAGTGAGGATAAATAACATGTTTGTTGCTTACCAACCTATACAATTTGAAATGGATTTAGCATGGAACTAAGCTTGTGGGGTTCTATATCATACTGGGTAAGATTTACATGTTTAATTTTTCTGCTAAACGTGTTAAATTGTATGCAAAGAAACGAATTTGAATTCACGGAAGACGCTATTACATACTATGTCCCATTTGCAGGCCAATAAAATGAAAAGGTTAAATTCCAACGGCATTTGAAAGATAATACTAATTTAGAACTTCCCTAAAAATAGGGGGCTTGAAAATGTCTTTAAGTGGGAAAATAATGACTATTAGTTGTCAAATCGACTTAAGAGCTATAGAGCCAGTAATAGTCTGATTTTTAGACCATTGTACCGAATGGGCGTACGTTTTATGCTGCGCAAGATTCAATCAGTTTATTTTTGGCCATTAAAAGAAGTGGTTATTGATGTAGACAAATGCTTATGTACCCAATACAGCTCATTTTATGTATGTTATTACCAAAGAAGAAAAAAAGGCCAGTCAGTCACTCAATAGTGTCTGACAGTGAAGTCTAGCAAGTAAACAGATTTCCTTTCATAATTTGAATATTAGGACACTGCTAATTACGTTTAAACTTCACAGATAGGACAAACATAACATATTAATAATTTATGCAAAGTTCTACAGATTTGATGCTGGCTGCAAAAGGGATATAGTACATTTATTCACGGCTAACAAAAATAACAAACAACCAAATTTGCGTTTATGTCGTGGCTTTATTAACATTTTGAGATGGACGCTTATTTTGCACATTTTGATTTTCTGGGTGTCATAACAACATAACACAGATATATTGAATCATAAAAAATGCTTACAAATGCAATGCTAGGCCCCCCGCCTATGAAATCGAGTGATGCCTAGGCTAAACTTATATACATTAAGTCATTATATCAGCCCCCCGCCTATAAAATCGAGTGATGCCTAAAGTTATGCTAGGCCCCCCGCCTATGAAATCGAGTGATGCCTAGGCTAAACTTATATACATTAAGTCATTATATCAGCCCCCCGCCTATAAAATCGAGTGATGCCTAAAGTTATAGAATATAGATGTATATATATACCAGCCTCTCCGCCTGTAAGATCGGATGATGCCTAAGATTAAAGCGTGACACCCTGAGTTTGAAAGTGTGTAGGTACAACTAGGTCCCCCCGCATTTAAATCGAATGGGGGCCGGAAAACTAAGAATTGACATGCGAACAAATTCGACTGAATATACATTGGCAACCCCCTCGCATGTAAAAATTGAGTGGGGTCGAAAATTATCGGATGACAATTATTGATCAATAAACTTATCAGTACCATGTGATTAGTGATTTACCCATACAAAACCGGGTAGGGGCGAAACCCAATGGGAAAAATTCCCCTACGGCCCACTTTCTTTGTGCACGACGCAAGTTGATGTGCGACCAGGCCTAATGCCCCCGGCTCTGCATTAACTT